AATTTAAAAACTAAACTTTAAATTTATCTCAATAAAATTTTAAATTTATTAAAAAATTACGTTTAAAAAAATATATATATATGTATATATATATATATATTTACAAACACCCTATGAGCTACTTCTGCCTTTTAAATTTCCTGATGATAATGTGGATTTTTCCTTTTTATTTATTTACATATTTTTAAAAATTTGGCGGAATAAAGATGTCATGGATGAATTGAAGACGAGGATCATAGCTGTTCCATTTACTAAGGAGTATTTGGCAGAACCTTTACTTGGAAATGGTTTATAAGCAATTTTTAATCTCTTAAATTTGAAAATGTTTTGGAAGAAAGGATAGATTTTTAAGAGAAAAAAATGCATACAAGCAAGTTCTAAAGAAAATAATAGCCTAGAACTTTCTTAAAAACTTAAACATAATTTTCAAACCTAAGAAATTAAAAGTTGCTTCTAAGTCCCATAAAAAAAAAAATTGCTTTTAAACAATTTCAAAAAAAACTCCATCAAGCACCCCTAAATGTGTTATGGGGTGTGGTTCCATTGTCTTCGGATACTTCAAAATCATGGTTACGATCGATGCACCTTGAGTTTTTGAGTAGCTTGGTGCTTAAGTCTTGAGAATTGGCAAATTGATAGGGATAATATTATTTCCACAGAAATTGAAGGAAGTAGTAAGGAAAACTCATTTAGTCCAAGTTAAGGTGCAGGGTTAAAAAATTTAGAATTATTGATTCGCGTACCGTGTGTTGCTGAGGAGCCACCCAGGATGTTGGATCTCAAATCCAAAACTTCTAAGTTTTCAAAAACTGACAACTCTGCATAAACATCTTTTTGAATTAGCAAAAGAGACGAAGATCAACTTCTAAAGGGATTTTATTGTTTGGGGAGTTCTCAAAGTGACTCCATCTAGTTAGTAGCTACTACAGTTAGATTATTGCAAATTGAAGGGAAAAATTACATAACAAGCGTACCTTTGTTCTGTATCCTAAAAATTACATTGAAGGATAAATTCAGACTCCTTAGCTCCTTAAATGATTTAAACAAAGAGAGGTTTAAATTCCAACTGTTTTGGGGGTCATATAAGCTATATGAGGGTACATCAAACTGCCTGGTATTGCTGAGGGAGAGGTTGATCACATGGCCTGTGGTGGAGTCGCAGCCGACCCTCTCCCATTTACAACAGCACTCATGCTCAGGGTCATTAACCCATGAAGGAAAAAGTTGGTCTGCGTCGTAGCCATCTGATTTGACGAAGGCCTTGAATTCTAGAAGAGCCGCCTTCTCCTCTTCAAAGCAGCCCCTGTTTCCATGGATGAAAACCAAATGGATTAGACACAACAATAAAAACTTAATTACCAGAACAGAATCCATCTAGGAATGAAGAAGAATCTGCTGATCGTAATATTGTTTGCACATGGCTGGCGCTGCCTCTGGCTTTTATATTGTAATTATTCCTAGGACCAGTTACCCCAACTTAGCTAAGAAAGGACCTACAAACCTGGAATTTTTTGTTTTGATAGTTAAATATTGTTAGGAGGATTCACATTTCACAAGCCGACTTGGGATTTGACTTTAAGATCCTTCGGAAGCCATTGGTAGTTAAGTATTTTAGTATTCACATTTCACTTTTTTTGGTATTTAAATTTCAGGTTTGTGGGAATTTTTTTATTTCACTAAAAAAATTCCTCACTTGCATCCCCCTTTTTTCGCCCCTTTTTAGCATAAATTGTCCTAATAGAAGATGTCACAAATACAATTTTAATACAATTTTAGAGTAAACGATCTTAACAAAGGATGTTGTCAAAAGCAATTTTTTTTTTTGTAGTGCTTGGATGTACTTTCAAAATTATTCTAAAAAATACTAGTTTTGAGTAGATAAAAACTAATTTAAAAACATTTTAATGTTTAAAAGAAATATATTATCTATGGTTGGTTAGAAGTTTTACCTTCGAAAATTTTGATAATAACAAAATTAAAACATATATATGTAGACAGCTGTGAGCTTGCTGTATATCTTTGTCGAGACTCAAGAAGGTCTAGTTTTTGATATTCCTCACTGTTGTATGACACGATGAAAGTGTTTGATAAAATTTAAAAAATATTTTATTTTTAAAATATTATTTATCTTTTTATAAATTTAAGATTTTGATAAAAAAAATTTAAAAATTGTCTTTAAAAGCCAATTCTAAACAAATTTTAAAAGAATTTAAATGTATAGTTTTTTAGAATTTAATTAAAATTTACTTAAAAAATTTAATTTTATTACTTTTCTTTAATAAAATTTTAAATTTATAAAAAATAAATAATAATTTTAAAGCAATCACTTTTTAAGTCTTGTCAAAACAACCCTTGGATGGATGGTTAGAAGCGACTTAATGTTTCAGCAAATTACTTTTGACCCATTTGAAGTATTTGAGAAGATTCATGTTAGATCTTGTTTGTGTTTGAAAGGGAGAGCTAACAACTTTGCCTTTTTTTTCCATGACTGGTGCTTAAATTCAAGTTTATATGCAGAAAATGTAAGATGATATGTAATCGAGGGATGAAGGACCCCTTGTATTCCCTTCTAGAAGTATATTTCTTTTGCTGATAACCAAAAAAAAAAAGTCTTTGATATCGTAAAAAAGAGTAAAAAAGAAAAGAAAAGAAAAGAAAAAAAGTTACGTAGTGTATTGTGTGCCTTATATGAGTTGTTCCATTCCAGGGCGTCGTTTGGACTTCTGTTATGGCCACATGAATAGTTTAATAAGTATATTTAGTTTGGTTGATTTTTATTAATTTATAATTTCTTTAAAAAAATTAATTATAATGTTTAAAAATATTAATTTATAAATTAATTATATTGTTTTAAATAATAAACATTAATTATTCCATCAAATCAGGCTACGATTATCAACTATTTATAATAGTTAAAAAGATATTTTATATGATCTTAACAAAAGATTGTGATTGCGATAACATCCTCTTTTTTTAAGTCTAATCTTTTCTACAAGTTGTATTCAGAGTTCGAAATTAGAACAAATGATTCTAATTTAACAATTTCTCTATTTTAAAATAATATAAATATTTTTTATTTAAAATTTGTCTTTGAGTAATAGTCATTTTTTATATCTTAAGAGAGACAAATATTTTTTTTCTTACTTTAATTTTATGATTTTTTTTAACTTTAATTATCTATCATCTAATATAATATTTTTTTATTTTATTAATTTTTAAAGATAAAATAGATAAAAATAAAAATTATCCTCAAAACGTTAATTTCAAAATAAAATTAAAAAATAGCTATTATTCTAAGAGGGAAGAAGTAATGGCATATAAGCAAAATTGATGGCTTGAATCCATTGTGGTGCACTTAAATGATTAAGAAATCATTTGAATCATGTTAAGAATGCAGATTTGAATTCTTCAAACGTTATTTTAGATGCAAACAATCTTAATAAGTCGTACTTGCCACCCTTAAAAGTAAAGTTTTATCTAATATTTGTAGACAAAATAATTTATTAGCATTCATAAGATTAATCAAATTAAAGACCTAAATACTCATATTATTTTCTTTTTAAAGAAAACTAATGGCTTGAAATTTTGGGCCACACAAATCATCACAACAAATTATCAAAGTGAGTCCCAGCATCTAACACCTTCAGGTTGTATTTAGTTGATGGTAATGACCATATTTTAGTTGAATTATAAAAATTAAGTAAATTTAAAAACTTTCTTTAAAAAGCTAAGAATAGTTAAGTTTTAATGTTAATATTTCACTAAAGTAAGTGATGATAAGTGATGTGAACTTTTAATATTGAGATTGAGATTGGGTGCCCCTCCATTCACCACTATGTTAAGGTTACATAATTCGTTTAATTTTTATCTTAATTTTTAATTATTAAAAATACTTAATAATTAATAAAATATTAATAAATTAAAATTAATTTATAAATAAAAATTTTTAAATATCATAATTAATTATTAAAAAAATAAATTAATTAAAAAAATATAAAATTATGTGAATATAGTAATTGGCCGTGGGTCATAACCCTAGGTCTACATCTTCATCCAAGTAGAAAGTTACATGAGCGTGTAGACTTCGGATAAGGTTATCACCATCATTAATATAGTTAAGACTATAATTAACAATTTGTAGATTTAAGTAGAATGAGTTTGATTTTTTTTATATATGATTTTGAATTTAAATTTTATAAATTATTTTTTAAATAAAATTTTAAATTTAAAATTTATAAATGACGAAACAAGTACTAGGAGAATTTTTTTTTATAAAATTTGATATGACTCAATCTGAATTAATTAAAATTTAATAAAATTATTAGATTTCGAGAAGTTATTAAAAAAATATAATTAAGACTAGTAAAACCGATAAAATTATTAATGACCATGACTTCAACCGTGGACTCCGTAGGGGTCTTGGTCTCCCATAATTTGCACATGGCTGGCGCTGTCTCTGGCTTTTATATTGTAATTATCCCTCGGGCCAATTACCATCACTTCAACCGTGGACTCTGTAGGGGTCTTGGTCTCCCATAATTTGGTCATGGCTGGCGCTGTCTCTGGCTTTTGTATTGTAATTATTCCTAGGTTCAATTACCCCCAACTTAGCTAAGAAAGGCCACAAAAAATATTAAAAAAAACTTAGCTAAGAAAGGACTAACGAACCTGGAATTTTTTATTTGGTAGTTAAGTATTGTCAGTAGGATTCACGC